TGCTCAACAGTCCGGGGTCTTCTTTGCTGGTTGTTTCATTTCATGATGTGCCAAATGTTTTCTATTGGTGAAAGGTCTGGACTGCAGGCAGGCCAGTTCAGCACCCAGACACTTCTTCTGTGAAGCCATGCTGTTGTGATGGATGCAGTATGTGGTTCAGCATTGTCTTGCTGAAATATACAAGGCCTTCCCTGGATGGGATCATATGTTCTAAAACCTCATTATACTGTTCAGCATTTATAGTGCCTTTCCAGATGTGTAAGCTGCCCACACCATAGGCACTAATGCAACCCCATACCATCAGAGATGAAGGCTTTTAAACTGTGCGCTGATAACAAGCTGGATGGTCCCTCTCCTCTTGAGTCCGCAGAACACAGCGTCTGTAGTTTGCAAAAAGAATTTCCATTTTTCCTCAGTCCAAAATGATGGTATTTCTGGATCGTGTGGACACGAGGCTTCTTTGCATGATACAGCTTTAAATTGCCCGTTATTGACCATTGGCCTTGTCCCTTGCGTACAGGGATTTCTCCAGATTCTCTAAATCTTTTGATGATACTATGTACTGTAGATGGTGGGATATCCAAAATTTTCACAATTTTACGTTCAGGGACATTTTTCTGAAATTGTTCCACAATTTTTAGACACAGTTTTTTTCAGCTTGGTGAACCTCTGCCCGTCTTTGCTTCTGAGAGACTCTGCCTCTCTAAAATACTATTTTTATACTTTTTATATCCAGTCATGTGAGTTAGTTGCAAATTGCTCCTCCAGCTGTTAATTAGTACCACTTACTTTTCCAGCCTTTTGTTGCCCCTGTCCCAACTTTTTTGAGACGCATTGCTGCCACCAAGTTCTAAATGAGTTAATGTTTTTCATGAAATGGTAAAATGTCTCACTTTCAACATCTGATATGTGTTCTATGTTCTATTGTGAATAAAATATGGGTCTATGAGATTTGCAAATCATTGCATTCTGTTTTTATTTACATTTATTTACATTTTACACAGCATCTCAACTTTTTTGGAATTGGGCCTGTAATATGGCAACCATTCTCCCCCCTATTTTTAAATTTAAATATGTAAAAAGAAATCCTCAAAGGGAATAGCCAAAGCCTCGACAATGGGCTTTTGGCTATTCCTTCTGAAGAAGAATGCTCTTACCTCTGAGGAAGAATGATGACATTTTCCCTCAAATACACATCCAACCCCTGACAGAAATGAACTGCTATCCTCTTCCTACCTTTTTCCACTCATTTACCAGTGGTGTTCATCACTCTGACTCAGTGCATACGTTCACACTGAGCATTTGTTCTGCTGCACGCTGCTGTAAAAACAAGCGTTCATTTAGTTTAATGAGTTGTAAGTGTGGAGTGGTTTACTGAGAGTTGTAAACACACAGCACAGTGTGTGGTGTGCATGTAGGAGACAGAATTAAATGATCTGTCTGTTTCTGACAGTGGAAACCTAACAGGAGAGGAGCGGCACTCTCAATCAACCCATCAGTGTGAAAGCAGCAGTGTGTGTGACATCACTACAGCAACTGCAGTGCTAAAGTCAATGTAGATCAAAGGCTGAGTGCTGGTTTTACTGTAATGAGTGAGACGGTCTGCGTCACAGCTTTGATGCTGTCTCTATCGTTTACATAGATTTCCCACTGACGCAAAACATGAATTATACAGATATTGATCTGCCCATCTACTACTTTCTGAGATCTAACATTCACTTCTAATCAGAAGCTCGGACACATCTGCTCAAAGAAGGTTGTTCTTTAGTTTTATGATTTTCCACATTTCAGAATAATAATGAAGACATCAAAACTATAAAATAATACAGACTGAAAGACCAAAAAAGTGTTCAACAAATCTAAATATCTTCTATTTTAGTTTTGTTTATAAATTAGCCACTGTTTGTTTTTATGCAGATGTATGTATAGTCCTTTGCAAAAGTTTGGGTTGATTTTCTAAGTAAAAATAAGTAAATACATTCTCTACACAGAACACACTTCTGCACACTTTACAAAATTACTGTTTATTTGTTGATTTGATCCTGTTCCGTAAAGGTCAGGACTCCCACAGGACCACCACAGAGCAGGTATTATTTTGGGTGATAGATCACTTTCAGCACTAGTGATGGTGGTGTGCTAATGTGTGTTGTGCTGTGTTGTGTTACACACAGCAGAGCACACTCTGCGTCCTGTCTGTTAGATTCATGAAACTGTCCAACAGCATCAGAATGAGCTCTGATTTAAATAGAATTGATGAATCCGCTTCAGTCACACAGAATACAGTATATGGCCAAAAGTATGTGGACATACTCCTAATTACTGAGTTCAGATGTTCCAGCTTCAATCATTGCTAACAGGTGGATAAAAGCACACAGCCTTGTAATCTTCATAGACAAACAATGATGGGAGAACAGGTAATAATGAAGAGCTCATTGACTTTAAGTTCATAGCACCTATACTTGTTTGCATCACTCACTACAGAGTACCAAACAGCCTCTGGAAGCAACTTTAACCCAAGAATTGTGTGTCAGGAGCTTCATCAAATGAGATTCCGAGCAGCTGCACACAAGCTTAAGACGATGCATAAAGCCAAGCATCAAAGTTTTACTACACACTTCTGTAACTTAAGAATAACTCCGCTAGTGTGCATTGTAGTCCACATAGTTACTGAATAATAAGACTTAGCACGTAATAAGCCTGGGATTTTAAAAGGTTAAAGCAGAAAACTGCCACCGGCAATTACAAGGAACAGCATGAATACATTTAGGACAGTGTATTCAGTATTCAGCCATCACTTCTTTTTTTAAGTATTCTGCCCAACCCTGTTGAACACCTTTGGGATGACCTGGAACACTGATTGTGAGCCAGGCCTTCTTGTTCAACATCAGTGCCAGACCCAGGTGTCACAACCCAAATGTTAAGAAGAGCCATTTTGTCCTTTTAACAAAAATCAAACCACCTTTTGAGGCACACCATTTTATGTCCATTGTATCATCTTGGCTGTAAATATGTTTATGTATGTGCTAATGTCCTAGTATAAGCTAAAAAATATAATTTAAATGAAAACATAGGCTCTGCTTTAAGCTTTAGCTCAGCTATAGCTGTTTTCTCACGTCTCCAGCAGGAAACTTTTCCTCAAAAGTAGGACAGTTTCTTGTAAAATGTCTCTCAACGTTTGATTTTTTATGAGGCTGAAGTCGCTTCTCATTTTCCCGCTCCACCTTCAATGGCGCCTGAGGCACCAGAATGTAACTGCTGCACCATTTAAGGTGGAACAGGAAAATCCAATAAGAAGCTGGCGAATAAGAAGTTGACTACAGCATCGTCACTTTTTAGTGTTTGATAGTTTCTCTTTGCGGATTATACATATCAGGAAACAACCTGGAGTGTTAATTAATGCAAATAAGTCCATTCGTCTCCAAATTATTGATGTTTCTCTTAAATATTTTTCTTTGCCTTTTCATTAGCTACTAGCTAGGCAAGATTATGTTGTCTGCGTTGCTACGGTGACCAACAGTCTGTGCACCAACCTTCAGGGTTAAAGGGTGAATTAGCAGTTCTACATTAACTCCAGCATTTAAGACCATTTATGGTTAAAACTGTGTTAGAATGATCAGCAGAGCTTTATTTTACTGCAAAGTATGATTATTTTATTTTACCTAAAAATCTAATTCTGCTGTGGAGCCGCAACAGAGCAGTAAAAGAGCCACATGTTGCCGACCCCTGGACTAATCTCACAAATGCTCTTTGACTGAATGGAATTTCCACAGACACACTCAAAAATGTTTTGGAAAGCCTTCTCAGAAGAGTGGAAGCTGTTATAACCGGAAAGGGGGACCAACACCATATTAATGCCCATAGTTTTCAAATGGCATATCCCACAAACTCCTATGAGAGCAATGTATAGGTGTCCACATACTTATGGCCAAACAGTATATAAGTATATCACAAAATTAACACATATTTTGAAAAAAACATAGAGATTTTTTTTTTCTTTTTCAGTTATTAATGTTATTATTATTATTGAATAAGTTAGTAGTGAGTCCAAACTGTTGATTGCTACACTCTTAAAAAATTGGTTCTTCAAAGGTTGTTTAGTAGATGCAATGGTTCTATATAAGACTCTAGGTTCTACATAGGTCTATGATTCTTTGAAGAAACCTTTTTAAGAAAAGGATTCCACTGTTGATAGCAGTCAAAGAACCATTTTTTTCAGCACCATATAGAACCCTTTTTGCTAAGAGTATAGTGTAGGTCGGTTTACTCCAATATTTGGTGTGTACTGATGTATTGCAGTTCTTCTTTTGAGCTGGACATGAATCACATGGGTTAACAGTAGGGTTAACACTGTACTGTGCAAAGATGTAGCCCTTCATTATTGCCTTCATGCCCCTCCTCTCTACAACACACACACACACACACACACAGCCATTTCTCCGGGTGGTCTTCTCATTAAAGTAAACCAGATGGTATCTACAGTCCACTAGCTCTTCAACTCAGTCCGTGTACATGCAGTGAGACTCGCGCGGAGCTGTCCATGGTGCTGAAATCCGACGACGCCGCGTTCCCGTGACTCTGAGTGAACGCTGACCGAATGGAAACGAGTGATGGCGCTGTGCTCCTGACATTTGCCTCCAAGCAGCCGCTCTATGCGCAATGGCCACTTGAGAGCTGCTTTCCTTTAAGGAGGAATCTCCGCTCGTCCTGCGCGCCACACGCGGATGGAACTTCAGTCTTAGCGTTTTGCCTCTTCCACGAATTTCCCTCGATTTTTTGTCCAGAAAGAACGAGCGTCGAGGACGAAATGACTTCTCCAGCACTTTTCCTCTCGCTCTCCGCGGAGTTGCTTTCTTAAGCGCCTGCCGTTGCCGTGCAGCTCCTCCAGGATTCGTTTACGCAGAGCCAGCCAAACTGACACACTGCACGCCACCACAGCACAGCATGTAACGAGAGAAACATGCCGCTGACAGATCGCATAACGTGACGTCATCCACTTGAAAATGATTGCTTTGAACAGCGACTGCATGACTATGGTGAGAAGATGTCTTCTGACGTTCAAGCCCTTCAGGTAAACAGAAGTCATTCCTTTTACTAGACTGTCTCTATCACTTAGACATCTCTGAAGTCAGGTACAACGCTCGAGACGGGCTGACCGTTTCAGCAGCTCAGTCATTTACTTTTTCAGGTGTTGAATTTGGTTCTTTCCAAACCATCACAGTGACAATCAGGTTCTAGCACACTTTATGACTGATCTCTACAAAGTGTAACACTTAAATGATAGCGCTTTGAATGCTTGTAAGTCTGCATCCTGGAAAGGGCTCATAATTATACCCTCCAAACAAATCTTTGTTTGTACCTGATTTAATCAGACCACATATTTGCAATCATACAGAGTCATCATATATGGACTAAAAATAAAGGCTCTTTGATTGGACCTATTTATCGAATTGGTATGGAATCTTTATACAATGTGGAGCTTCTTTGAACTTTGAAATGTGTCTCATTTACATATTGTATGCAATTGAAAGGTTCTCAAAACTGGTTCTTCTATGGCATTGCTCCAAAGAACCAATTTTGGCACCCTCTAGAGTGCAGTTAATATCAACACCCCTCTCAACTATTTGGCTATTTGTTCTAGACCAGTCACTCAGAGATCTATGCCAATGTGAAGTTTGAATTACTACAAACTTTTCAGAGATCTGAAAAGAAGATTTAGATGTTTTCACCAGACAGCCAGACAATGGTTTCACTTTGGAGAACATCTGCCCAGAGTTACACTGAAGAGGAGAAGTGGAAAACAGATAAATAGATGATAAACTCTCAGCCCAGCTCATATTGAAATGCTTTGGTTCTTACAGTGTTGACTCCAGAAGAGTTTTACTTAGCTTTCTTGGAGCACACTGTTCTGACATGAGATGGTCTAAGACTCAGATTAGCCTCAGACTCATTTTACAGACTGATGCAAATATTCCTTTATCATTTCTCTGTGAGATTAGCCGTATTTATAGATTGACAATGCGTCTTGTAGCTCATTTCTCTTTTGTTCACATTTATTTTTTACAGCAAACTGCTTTCATCTGTGGATACACTTAAAAATTAAGGTTCCTAAATGGTTCTTGGCTTTGACACACAGTTCTGGGAAAAACATTCAATTGGTATAGATTTGAGTGGAGATCCATGTGTGAAATACCCCTTGGTATTTGGGGGGTCCCATGCTGGCTGCCTACTCCAGCGTTGGCTGGCTGCTAATTCACTCACTAGCACTGATGCTACTTTAATGGCAACAAAATGTTTGGTTTAACATTTCCTCTTTGGAAATACTCTTTTCTAGTTTGGTAATGCGCTCTTCCACACATTAACTGAGATCTTACACATCTCCTCTTTTGTCTTTGGTTTGAGATATAACTAACTATTTCCACCAGGGTTTTCTGAAAACCAAGTTTTCAGACTTACAGATATGCTACGGCATACTGTAATTTTTTCAGAGGTATATTGGTCATGTTTATAGTTGTTAGGCTATGAAGGACCAACTAGGTGAGCCAGTTTGCCACAGCGCCACCTTGAGGCAGACCAGTGCTGCATCACTAGTTAGTTAAGAATGCCGAAGACAGAAGCTCACAGATTGTGGGTGAAGAAGGCTAAAAAAGCTAAAGAAAGCTAAAGAATTTGTGTCTGGACATCAGTTTTTCACTAACAGACAGCTTAACGTCATAATAAGTTTATTTTCAGGGACCCCACAGAACTTTGATTTTGAGACATTCAGGGGGTCCAAGTGGTTAATTAGGGGGATTTCAGGTCTCTCCTGTATTTCTCACCTTGGTGGAGATATAATACAAGTAGAATAGGTTCACTAGTGGAATAAAACATAAATACTCAAACCATACAGAGGAAAGGTGAAAAGGAGGTGACCAGTGTTGAATGTCTGTCAATGATTTGGTGGACTGCACTCTTGAAAATAAAGATTTCGAAATGTTTCCCAGCGTGGATTTGTAGTTCTTAAAAAACCTTTACTTGGCATTATGTAGAGGCTCTTTAAAGTTAATAAAGGTCCTCTACACTCATATATTTCATTTATAAATAGGTATTTGAAGAAGCAACAGTGAAGTGATTACTGGCATAGTATTATATATAATTACATCATGTGTAGGTTTGCAGTGAGCTAATGTTAGCAGGTTAGGCAATGATCAATCCAACACTTAGGCAACTGCCTAAGTGATGACTTGATCACTGGGAGACTGTAAGTTAGATCACCAGTGCAGTGATGCCACTGCCTTTGGTGGCTGGGAGCCTAAAAGAGCACAAATGGTTAGCCAGTGCAGGTATTTGTCAGGTAACATATCAGATTTAGTAGTTAGCATTCTCCTTCAAATGTGTTGTGCTGTCCAATGACACTGTATTAACAGCAATTCGAAGAGATGTGGTGAAGCTGAGAATTTATGTGCTAGCCTTTACCTTCCCTGCTTGGAAGCATCATGTGATGGGAAAGTAATGACTAAATCGGGGAGGAAATTGGCTAAATAAAAAAATAAACAAACAAATAAGACTCCGAAATGGTTCATGGCTTGGACTTGCTGTTCTAGGAAAAATCTGTAATTGGTTGAGAACATTTACAAAATCAAGACTTTATTGACACATCTATTGGATGGTTCTTCCTGTATCCAGAAGTAGTTCTTCTATAAGATTACTCAAAAGAACCCTTTTTGCACTTTTATGTTTAAGTGTACTCATACTCTATCAATCTCCTACAATCTCCATCACGTAATACTGTGTTACAGTCAAAAAAAAATCCACAGAATGATCAGAGAATGAAGGAAAACATGAGATGCGAAACTCTAAATGACCTTCATCTTGGCCTCATTGTACACTCCTAACAACAAAGAGTCCTAGGGTTCTTCACTTGGACATACAGCTCTGGGAATCAAATCTTTAATTGGGATAGAACTTTTACATGACATGGGGCTTCTTTAAACTGCATAAAGTTTTGCCTCACTTGTACATCTCACAAAGGGTTTTTAAAAGTTCTTTAGGGAAACAAAAGTTGTTCTTCTCTGGCACTGCTCCAAAGAACCCTTTTGGCACCTTTATATGTAAGAGCACTATCACAAACTATCGTCAAATGTCCTGTGGCAATCACTTGCGGCAGTGAGTCTGTTACTTGCACATTTGGGCTGATGCAAAGAGCAGGCAATTTTGGTGCAAAGTTCTATGATTCAAAGTTAGAGAGCAAAAGGAGAAGTGTGTGACATTTTAAAGGTTTATTAGCTAGAACTGAACAGCATGAAAGAAGTGTTAAGCCATTAATATTTTACTATTCAGTCTCCTGACTGCCATTATTACCTTTTGTGCTGGAGCCACTCTGACCACGGTAATAGGGTGTCTGTTTCTCTGCAGGATTTTTGTGGCGGGGATCGGCTTCTTCAGCCTCTGCTTCTTAATGACCTCTCTAGGGGGCCAGTTCTCGGCCAAGCGGCTCGGGGACTCTCCCTTCACCATCCGGACTGAAGGTAAGCTGGGCGGTCTCTTCTACGGCTAATACTGCCCAAACTGCCCTTCTCACTCGACCCCAGTGTGGTCTGAGCACAAATAGCTGGCAGCGGCTTGCATCAGCTGTTTTCATGGAGTAAAGGGGAGAATGTTTGTGAGCATGCAGGTTTGGTGTGAGGGGGGAATGTTTCAGGTGGGTTTGTGCTTCTTTTGCTCTTGGTTATATGGAGATCAGTGCAGAGTGAATAGGCTCTATGGCTGTGGACTATAGAACACACATGTATGTTTTTTTTTTATTATACTAGAAATAGTGCAGTGTACATACAATCCATAAATATTATGTATCTGTAACCTATATGTAATAAAAACTTGAGTGTTGCAACAGTCTAAGTGGTTTGATCTTCAATGATGTCATGGCTGGGAGTCCAAGAGAACATAAATGGCGAGCCACTTCAGGTGTCTGTTTGCTGACAAAATTGGCAGTTAGTGTTTTCCTCCAAACGTGTTGGTGTTGCATTAGCGGCAGTTCAAAATGATGAGGTGATGCTTCATATGTCTCAGAAGAAGCAGGTCCTAGCTCTCAGCTTGGTAGCATTGTGAGATAGGTGGAGACCTAGCTGGCGAGTGGAGTTTTGGTGGAACTTAACCAAAAAGAAATATTTTTGCCATTAAGTGTGAATAAACAAAACATGTAACTTAAAAAATCCACGTTTGTATTTCTGCCTTTGTGGGATATTTCTATTCCCCTTTATGTTACTATAGCTGAATAACACTGTGTAAAAGTCAAAGACTTTTATTCATTATTCATCACAAGTTGTTTAATTTGCAGCATTGGGGAAAAAGCAGAAAATGTTTATTTACCAAAAATTACACTAAAGCTTCAACAACAAAGTGTAATATCAAAATGTTCAGTATTTAGTGCGTCCACTCATCACCTTTATTGTAACTTCTATTGTTTTTGGTAGACTTGCTTTCAGTCTTTCAAAGAAATCTGCAGGGATATTTCTCCACACCTCCAAAGTTCAGTGTTAGAAGTTATATTTTCCATAACCTCAATTACAAATTTAGACACATAGAAACTCCTCCACATCTAAGATTTTAAGAATTTTCTTCTTTTTCCTTTTCTCAGTAACAGCCTCTTCATAGCTACACAGCTACTTCTCAAAGATGAAAGCTTTGTGTACTGTTTATCTGATGGTGACAGATCTTAGATTAGCTGTAGTCTATCAGAATTTAGATTAGATTAAGTGACCCTCTATTAGTCCCACAACAGGGAAATTTCACCTCCACATTTAACTCACTCATGCAGTGAAACACCACATACACACTAGTGAACACACCTCACTAGGGGGCAGTGAGCACACTTGCCTGGAGCGGTGGGCAGCCCTTTCCACAGCGCCCGGGGAGCAGTTGGGGGTTAGGTGCCTTGATCAAGCGCACTTCAGTCACATACTGTTGGCTCAGGGGATTGAACCGGTGACCTTCCGGTCACAAGGCTGGTTCCCTAACCTCCAGCCCATGACTGCCCCAATCTCGCACAATGGTTGACATTCACATTCCTTATACTAGTATTACCTTATATCTACTCTCCTCAGAAATGTGTTCTGCAAAATGAATTATTTAATAGCCAATTTAACTGGAAATTTAACAAAGGGTCAGACTTTTGCATAGTACTGCATGTCCCCTATGTACTGTAGGTTTATACATACTGCCAGTATGTAACAAGAATGGTCTAAGCCTAAACTTAAACTTAACCTTACTCTAATCCTCAATAACTAAGAAGAACATCACTTTACATTATCAACTATTTTTTAGGCCTGATATTGTGGGTTAGCACTGCTTTTCTTTGGTTTTCATAGATATTCAGGAGAGCTTGGTCCTAAAAATGTACACCCACACCCACAAACCTAAGAGGTTATGAATATGGTTCACAGTGCGAGCACGATGAGCTGTCCCTCCTTTCATCACTAGTCTCTATGTTCATAAAGCACACTTCCTGCATATGTGAATGACAGCTCATAGCCTACAGTGAGAGATATGAGTAATTCTGTGCCCAGGAAAAGCCGACTCCCAAGTTATAGGATAAAGCTGCGGACATAAAATCGATACTTGAAGCAGTTGCTCTCTTTGCGGTTTGCAGAGTGGCAGCAAACAGTGACCTGATATGAGGAGAATAGCAGTGTGTGTAGAGGCAGAAATAAATGCAGTGCTAGGCAGGATCCATCTGCATATTCTCCAAAGCCTGGCTTACAGCTCTAAGTGATAGATAATCTTGGTTTAATAGAGCCCAGTGCTGCAGAGAGAGAGAGAGAGAGAGAGAGAGAGAGAAGGGGGGGGGGAGACAAAGAGAGAGAGGCTGACTAATTAACTACTCGTCTTGGGAAAGCAGCTGGCTCTTGCTCATTAAACACCGCCAGCTGCCTGGCCAAAGAAGGACGCGAGAGTTTGAAGACCCATCGCTCCATCCCTCTTTTTTCTTTTTTTTCCAGGACAAAATAAGCTTATATTCACCTTTTGTACTAAACAACAACATAGGAACACCGACTTTCACTCAGTGGTAATAAACACTGTCTAACTGCCTAAAAACAAAACAGTAAGCATTAAGCATTACTCTCTTCATTGAAACCCATTATAAGGAAAATACTTAACATGGCTTAATTTCCTAAAACAACAAACATAAAACCTTCCTCACATATTATTGGTCATAAACAATGTCTACTGCCAATAACTCCGAGGAACTCTTAAGACCTCCTAGGCTTGGAGTTCCCAATCTTAGTCCTAGAGCTACACTACACTACACACCTGATAGAGCCTTAATAATAACGAGGAGTCATCAGGACTGAGATTGAGAACTGCTATTCATAAGGAACACATTAGGAAAGACCTTAATAAGGCTGAATGTATTTAAATGAAGTAGAACCCCAAATTTCTCTGCATTATATATTCATGCTTTGGGCAGAAGTGAGAGAAATAGCTCATTGTTTAAGTGTAAGTGCACCAAACCACATTAAATGAGCCCTCAAAACAAAAACAGTATATGTGACTTTTTTTTTGTAAAAATCGTATAAGAGGGGGCCGTATCATCAGGAGATCGCGAGTTCGATCCCTGGTGCTGCAATTGGCTCCGCTCTCTCTGGGTGGGTAGGATGCCTCCCCCCCCCCAACCCTCTCCCATATCACCCAACGCGATTCTAGCCAGCACAGGCGTCTGTTAGCTGACGTAACAGATCTGGCGGTTGGCGCTTTCCTCCGAGCGCGTTCAGCTGTCCAGTGACGTTGCGTGAGCGGCAGTTCGAAAAGAAGCGGTGGTTGGCTTCACAGGTCTCGGAGGAAGCCTGTGTTAGCCTTCACCCTCTTAGCGTTGAGAGCTTCGTGTGATTGGGGGAGTCCTAACTAGCGGGTGGAATTGGCGACGACTAAATTGGGGAGATAATTTGGTTAAAAAATCAACGTATAAGCATTGTATGTAAATACCAAGTTTGATGCCCCGTATTCAAAATAAAGTGGTCATTAAAATGTAACTAAAGCATAGTTTGGCCTTTTCAACAGCTAATATTCGAAGTTTCGCCCTTTTGGGGGAGGGGGTGGTAGTGATGGGGGGGCTGAGAAAGTCATTCAGAAAATCTGCATCCAGCAACTGTCTTCTGCAGTTTCATCCACTGTAAAATCTGAATCTCCAGGCTCGCTGCTTTCCTTGCAGAGCCCTGCGACGCTCACAGCTTTGCTCTGTCTACCAGGCCAGCTACTCTCTGAGCGGTGGGCTAGGGGGTAATAGCACAGTGCATGTACGGGGTAACCAGCACTTCATGGAGGTGGTCTAACTCTAAGTACGCAAAGCATACATTGTAGTAGGGCTCAGTACAGCAGGGCAGTGTTTGCAGTCACCCTAGCAATACATGCTGTCTGGTACTGTATTAGTGTGACATTCACTGCTGTGAGTGAGTGGGATGTAAGGAGCCTGCACTGCGTTGTAAGTAGTTGTTGTTAAAGAGAGGAAATGTTTGGCCATTTTAGGTTAATTTGTACAAAGACTTTTATGTTGAAGATCCTGAATACGGGTGGAGTGGCGGGTGTTCCAGAGTAGAGCAGAGGGCTGTGTTTCTTCGCGCTGTGTTTGGCACGGTTTTTAGCAAATTTAAAGTAAAAGCTGTGTTATGGACCCTAACTTTGGGTCATCTAAGTTTCTCCCGAGAACCCCGAACGTTAAAGTATTTTGCGGTTCCCCTTTTTTGATAGCCTACATTTAGCCCCCCCCAAAAATTCTGATTTCCAAAATTAAAAACCAAATACCAACCCAACAAACAAATATCCAAACAATTAAATATCCGGGTTCAGTCCGACTCAAATGTTCCCATAAAAGTGGGGTTTAATGAACAGAAAATGCTTGTAATGCTTTGTTTTGGATTACAGTTTAGATCTTTTGGTATATGACTCTATTTTTGTGTAGTGAACATTAGAGAAACTTCATGTTCTTAGGTCATACTATGAACTTGTTTATAACCAGTAAGATAAAAGAACATTAAACGACGTTAAGCTTTGTAATGGCTTTCAATGGGAGAGAAATAAGATTACTGTGACAGTTATTATTTAGACTTTGAATTACAGTTTTGTGCTTTTAGCAGTGGACAGTGTTTATTACCAGTTAGATGTGGTCCTGAGTCATTGTTTTAGTACATTACATCAAGTATTTTAGAATGTCCTCTTTTGTGGTGCCATACTAAAGACTGTAAACTATCTGATACTACTGTACTCTCTATCTCTCTCTCTCTCTCTCTAACAGTAAATGAGCAGTCATATCATGTGTATGTGTGCGTGTGTGTGTAGAGAGAGTGTAGGCCTCGGCTGTGTGTTCCACATCTCTAAATGAGCTGTCCTCTGCTCCACTGCTGTGCTGATCCAGTGAGAGGCTGTTGATTCTCTGATCCTCTCTACACATAACAGCTTCTTTTAGCTTTTGTCCGCCCACTCCCGCCACATTCAGCCTCATTTAAAACACATTCGCTAACGCTAATCCTGCACC